GAAAATTATAACTCTCCTTATCATAAAAACACCTAGACATTTGTTTACATAAACTTATCTTCTACATCATCCCATCAAGCTATTTCTGATTCAGGTCTAAGCTCTACAAACAATTAATCTTACATAACATTTACCCAAAAGTTTACTTCTCTTTACTAGTACCAAAAGTCTGAAGAAAAAAATAGTCAATTCGACAATGTAAAATGTAATTTTGGTTACTTGACAAGTAGTGGTTTTCAATAGTCTATTGTTTTATGTAATTTTGTACAATGTCTTGTAGTAGCAGTTTTTAAACCTAAAAGAAATGGTCTTTAAAAACAGCCTTGCTAAGTTAATCAGAAATTATACTCTCAATAATAAACTGGTGAAATATTCAGCTTTTTTTTTAAAGGATAGTTACATTATGGACTTCTAGACTTTAGTTATCTTGGGGTCTAAATTCATGTGCTGCTTTATTGAGTATCATAAATCTACCTTTCTTCACCATGTTAGACAAGTGTTTACACTATATCATGTGAACAGACTCATTTATTCCCTTGGGGTTTCCATAATAGTGAGTGTGTGTATGTAGTTGGTTAGGTGTACAAAATAAACGTTTTTAGTGCATTTTTATTAATAAATAGCTTATTTTGAATTCAATTATAGATCATCCAGAAAAGATAGTCAAGTACACTGATTGCAGATTTTAATTTATGTAAACAAATAAATAATTGTAGCATCTTTACAATCAGAATACCTATTATAAACTCGGAACATTTGCAAATTACCAGGCCACCTTTTTTGAACTACCTTCAATTATCTCCATAGGCACACATATACATATGCATATATTCTAATTAGACTTCAAGGTACTTTATGGATGTCTAATTACATTAATTCTGTAAATAATTTATAACCTAAATTGGTCATTTTTGTGTACAGAAGAGATCACTGCTTATTCTCCTACATCAATGTGCAATCTGTTAGGTATCATCTTTAACAAAGTAATGAATGATAAAGGTGTGAGTTAAAATATAATATTGTGTTTTCCACAATTTGTCATGTGAGAAATGTAGCAGAAATTTCTTTAATTTTTATAGGAGGAAGAGCTTGTTACAAAAATAGATGCAGTTCATCTAAAGATGTTCCAGAATAGCACCTGTTGTCCAAAGAAGGAACATTAGATCTTGCAAGTCCACCTCAAATGCTACAAGTTGTCTAGATGGCTTATTGAAGGAGAGTAAAAATCTGAAAACAAACAAAAAAAATCTCGTTTTTGGTAAAAAACAAACATAGTATATGAAAAAGCAACTTTTAACTTGAGAAAACCTTAGATGAAACATGTGTATAAAGAATATAAAAAGTTAAACATGCTATGTTTCTATAGGTTCACATGTGATCAATCCTAGTTCCAGTCGTTTTTTTTCAACCTTAATCAAGATTATTCTTTAAAATATAAATATTGGTCCACGTGAAATGAGCTTAAATTGGCCAGACTGAGAAGGTTCATTGTATGTTGTAATGACAATAGTTAATATTTACACCAAATTTTATGAACTATGTTCCATTATGTCCAACAATTTGAACTGAAATGCAGGAACGTGGATATGTTTGGCAACAGAATATCGGTTATTTAACTGTATGAGATGTTTAAACAATACTGTATAAGAATCAGCATTTCTCATACCACATAAGAAAGTACTTGTCCTGGTCTGTGGTAGTAAGCAGAAGATTTATAATATACAAGATCATCAGAGAGGATAATACAAGTATCTTCCAGAAAAAGTATATCCATGTCAATGTCACAGAACAAGAATATATAATGAAAACTTCAGAATTTATTTGAGAAGCTCTTAACATCAAATGCTTTATATTTTACATCACAAAAAAATCCATACATATTTGTTATATTAAGAAATAAATCTATAGGACATAGTCTATGAAATAGTAAATATTCAAAGAAACATATGAAGGTTGAAGTGTAGTAAACATGAGATTTTAAACAAAAAACATATATAATGTAGCCCACAGAGTACCACATATTCTACAGCATACATCTTACAAATATACGATGTCCTCCAGTGTATACATCTTACAAACATACGATGTCCTCCAGTGTATAGTATACATCTTACAAATATACGATGTCCTCCAGTGTATAGCATACATCTTACAAATATACGATGTCCTCCAGTGTATAGCATACATCTTACAAATATACGATGTCTTCCAGTGTATAACATACATCTTACAAACATACGATGTCCTCCAGTATATAGCATACATCTTACAAAGATACGATGTCCTCCAGTATATAGCATACATCTTACAAACATACGATGCCCTCCAGTGTATAGCATACGTCTTACAAATATACGATGTCCTCCAGTGTATAGCATACATCTTACAAATATACGATGTCCTCCAGTGTATAGCATACATCTTACAAACATACGATGCCCTCCAGTGTATAGCATACGTCTTACAAATATACGATGTCCTCCAGTGTATAACATACATCTTACAAATATACGATGCCCTCCAGTGTATAACATACATCTTACAAATATACGATGTCCTCCAGTGTATACATCTTACAAATATACGATGTCCTCTAGTGTATACATCTTACAAACATACGATGCCCTCCAGTGTATAGCATACGTCTTACAAATATACGATGTCCTCCAGTGTATAGCATACATCTTACAAATATACGATGCCCTCCAGTGTATAACATACATCTTACAAATATACGATGTCCTCCAGTGTATAGCATACATCTTACAAATATACGATGTCCTCCAGTGTATACATCTTACAAATACAGCACTGGAAAAATCTATCTGAATCTTCAAGAGTAATGCACCAGTCATAATAACCAACAAAAATTCATATGGGATAATTGATATGATGTAGTTCAAAACATAGGAAACTACTCACATTTACCTCCTTAAGTTAATCAATACAGACCTTCCGAAAAACTCTACCAAAATAATATTAAAGTGAATCCATTAATGTATTTGAAACATTAGCATTTATCCTAGACAGTAATCCTGTACGTGATTAATGTATTCACCCATCTACAGGATGTTTGTATGTCATATATACATGTGTAATGTACTCAATATATTGTTATAAACTCTAAATTAGTATCACTAAACAATGTTACTAGCCATGACCATATCGATGTCATGTACTCAAGACATTATCAAGCTCTGAAACGGTAACATGAAAAGTAAATGTTAAAGATGAGACTCAAGATTATCAAAGTTATTAGGAGAGCAGCACGCATCCCATTCAAGAAAACTAATTTTGATGTAAAATAAAGTTTAGAGCATAAAATGGTTTCAGGGTGAACCATTTACCATTACTAACAAGTAGCCAATAAACTTTATATGTAGCACATGACCCAGAACAATATATACTACATAATATCCACCACATTTTAAACAATAGTTCACTTTGCATACTACAAAGAGACAGACGTTTCCTTGATCGAATCGAAACAGTTGCAAATACTTAATATTCTCAACACTAGAAAAAAGGTAAATGACGAAAACACTAGTGAACAAACAGCAGAAAAAAATGCATGACATACACTACAGAATAGCAGGTGTATACTTATGTGATCATTAAAGGAGGATAAAGATGTGAACAAGGTACGTTAGTGAACAGTGAGAATTTTATATTACCTTGAGAAGGTCATATCACCTAGTTTACAGATCAATGTGCAATCGCTACATGGAGAAAGCAATATAATATCATTTGCTTTACAGATCAATGTGCAATTGCTACATGGAGAAAGTAATATAATATCATTTGCTTTACAGATCAATGTGCAATTGCTACATGGAGAAAGTAATAGTTTAGAGATCAATGAGCATTCTGTACCTAAATAAGGTAATATATACTTTAGAGAACAATGTGCATTCTCTACCTGGATAAGGTAATATAATACCATGTAATTTACAGATCAATGTGCTTTCTCTACCTGAAGAAGGTAACATAATATCATGTAAATTTGAAATCAATGTGCTTTCTGTACCTGAAGATATAATATAACGTACATTTCATGAACTTTAGAAAATAATATACATTGCTTAGTTTACTAATGTAATACATAAACTAAATAATTGGGGAAAAACAAGACAGTTGTACGTTTCACAAATACATTTATTACGACCATGGTTTCGCCGTTAAAGGCATCATCAGGTACAGACTGAAATGTTTTGTAACAGGGTTTATATATATATATATATATGTTTAAACAAAGAACCAGAAGTGACCTTGAAATTGACTTAGAGACAAGTGGGGAGGAGCTTAAGTTAGTTTGGTCGTTTCTAACTTTTTCTGGATTTGTTTTTAGACTTCTATCTATCTATATGCTACTAAAACTCTGAGATTGTTTGTGTGTGTGTGTACTTGTCTGTAATTAAATATAGCAAAAACGGCGCACAATAGCGCCATATTTGTAATGAAATGAGAATAGAAACAGAATAAAACAAATTTCGTTAAATCGAGCCACTGGTTACCGAGTTAGCGCCGTTTTTCGGGGCACTTTTATGAAAAATTCTAGATAAATTTATGTATACTAGATGGCGTCACATATCGGTTTATCTATATATCTATTCGTTTTCCACCTAATGAATCACTTTAAAATATCTTCTGTACAACAATATATGCACAACAGAAATTAAATGATGAGATGAAAATGTTTTATAACGGCGCGTAAAAAGAACAACAATAAAATGGACCTACAATATTATTGACTATTTGCAAATATGGAAACGAGGTAATAAAATATAAATCAAGTCGAGGACAACAACAAAATCTTATAAAGGAAAACCTCTCGTCGAGCATTGGCTATTATATTATTTCCCGGTCAATATTCCCATCTTCATTAAAAGGCATAATATGACAAAAACAAGATCTTGAAGAATCTATCTATATACTACTAAAACTCTGAGATTGTTTGCCTGTTTGCTTATTTTCTCAGTCAAAAAATCATTCACACTACCGTTCGCGCTCTTTACGAAACTTCTTACTACAATTTTTTGAAAAATGGTCTTACCTTTAACTCCCGAACAATCAAATATCTTTTCTTGAATTATGAATAACACGAATGGAT